CCCGGCTCGTGTCCTTCTTATTCCCACTGATGCTGTGCTGTGTCTGGGGGCTCAGCGCTTGTCTCTCCTGCTCACTGCTCAGGTCCTTTGGGGCTACAATCAAGGCTAAGCGGCTTTATGACTTCCTGGGGCAGGGACACAGCTGGTGTTTGGCCCCTCTGTTCTGAAGGGTATGGGGAAGGATGTGATCATGTTGCCTCTGAGCCCTGTGACCTCTCCAGGTGTGGTCAGTGGAAACCCAGGGTCACGGAGGCTTGGGGGCCCATTCCCTGGCCTGGTTTCTCTTCAGGGAAGAGTGTGATTGCTGCTGGGTCTAGAAGTAGGTCCTAGAGGGAGAGGTCACCACCGTTGCTCACAGCTTCACGCTAGGAACCCTACTGTACCCAGGGAACAATCAGGTTCCAGCAAACTGAAAAATAACAGAACAAACCCATGTCTGTCCTAAAAACCACACAGGCTTCTTTTCACATCAGTCTCTAAGCAATCCAATGGCTCCTGTGGCATCCACCCGGTAACTCCTGGTTTAGAGGAGAATGACTATGCATTCTATGCAAATGCTAGGACACATGGGAGGGGTGTCTGTGTCTGTGGAGCCTCTATGGACACCAAGGAACCAACACAGAAAGGGGCCAGGGCTGCCATGTGGGAAGAACAGCCTTTGTCATGCCCCAAGGAGACCAGGGGAAGGGACATGGGTCACAGCTTCTGTGTGCCTCCCACACAGTTGCTCAGAAACTGGGTAATCAGCCTCACTTCCCAAGGCTAGGCAGGGCCTAGAGGGAAAATAAATGCTGATTCAGTTGATGTGCTCAGTGTGAGCTTGGGGGTCCCCAAGGCCACCCCACATGCTCACTGAGAGTTGGGAGCTCTACATGATTGTGCTTAAAGTGGAGGGTCATGGCTGTGAAAGTGCCTTCTCCAGGCGCCTATGCTGGGGCTTCTGCTTAGAAGCCAGAGAGAGCCTTAGTTACTGTTCTATTTCCATGAAGAGATGCCACGATCAAGGCACACTCCCAATGACACACCTCTTTCAACAAGGCCACACCCCCTAATCCTTCCCAAACAGTTCCACCACCTGGGAACAAAGTATTCAAATACATGAGCCTATGGGGGTCATTCTCATTTAACCTACCACAGAGCCAGTATGTACTGACAAATATGTGGCCACTTAGTTGCAAACCAGAAGGAACACCAGTGTTCGGCAAGTGTCATATTATAGCAGCAGCCTCCTGGGTCCTGTTCCCAGCCTCCAGGTGGAAGGCCGACTTCCTAGCAGGAGGATCCCCTGTCCATGGTGCTGGGTGGGTGTCATATTATAGCAGCAGCAACCTGGGTCCTGTTCCCAGCCTCCAGGTGGAAGGCCGACTTCCTAGCAGGAGGATCCCCTGTCCATGGTGCTGGGTGGGTGGGGGACAGGCACCTGGCTTGCATCTTTCCTCTGCACCTGTCCCTGGAGCCGAGGACAGATGGCCGAGAGTATGCCTCTGCTCTGTTATTGCCCATGGCACAGGCAGAGGAGCAGAGGAAGCGGCCAGCATCTTTCCTCTCAGGACAGAACTTAGGAGCGGAGTCACCAACACAGCCACTAATCGCTTTAGGAACTTCCTTTCCCCCTTTCTCCTGTCAGGCCTGGAACCGTCACTGCCTGACTCCACCCCCTGGCTTCTTAGACCCCCAGTACCAGTGGCCACCCTCAGCTCAGCATGGATGTATCTCATGTCCCTTTGGACCGTTGCCACCCCAGGCCAGACATTCCTCATGTTGCTGAACATCTCCCCCTCTCTCTGGGCACATTATCTCTTTCCCACCCTGCATCCTTAAAGTAGGGAGTGGGCTTGGGAGGGTCTTCAGCATTAAAGCATGGGTGCTGAGTGAGGCCAGGATCATCCCATCTGGGAGAGGGACTCTGAAGCATTGGATATCCCCCAAGAACTCTTCTCTCCCTTCCTTTCCTTATGTTATTCTTGTTTATGCCCAAATAGGCCAAGAGTGTCTAGTTGCTGAATTTCTAGGTTATCTGTCACAGCACAGCTTTATGTTCTGGGCCAGGATGGAGAACACCTTGGGGGGTGTAAAAACTCATTTCGCCAAAGAGAAGAGAGAAGGGAGACAGCTTGGTATTACCTAGTGGGATCCTTGCCATCACCAGACCGAGATACAACAGCCAGGTCTTATCTCGGGGGCATGCCCCTGCCTTCACCCTAATCCCAGCCACAGAGGGAGGCCACACAAGTGTTCCTTAAGATTCCTGCAAGCAGGCTGCGGTGGTGGCGCACGCCTTTAATCCCAGCACCCGGGAGGCAGAGCCAGGCGGATCTCTGTGAGTTCGAGGCCAGCCTGGTCTACAGAGCGAGATCCAGGACAGGCACCAAAACTACACGGAGAAATCCTGTCTCAAATAACCAAAAACCAAAAAAAAAAAAAAAAAAAAAAAAAATCCAAAAGTGTCTGGAGTCTCTTTCAGGGGTCTGTATGATTTTCAGAGTGGAGCCAGGGAATGTAACCCCTCATGATAACGTTGGAAAAACTGAGATGGAAACTCCCAAACTGGGCAGCAGCCGTGGTGGGAAGATATGGTTGCCTCTCCCGACCCAGCCATCTTCTCCTGCTTGTCAGAGTCCATCTGGTTTAGATACATCCTTGGCCTCAGCTGTACCTTGTCTTTTGTAGGGCTCAGTATATTATGCTTGCCTCTTCTCTTTTGTACTGGGCTTCTATTCTAATTTGGAATAATGTGTTCAACTTCTAATTTGGAAATAATTACAGATTTAAAAAAACGATGTGCCAGCCCCCTGGGCCCAGGAGCTCTGCTCTGTATTGCAGTGATGCCGTATCAAAACTGAGAGGTCAGCAGCGGTCAGAGTGCACTCTGCTTTCATGTGTGGCGTGTGTCCCCACTAACACCGGATGCATGCCGAGACGGCCCTGCACTTCCCCCATGGCCACACCCCCACACCCTTTCTTCCCCTCCAGCTACCCACACTCCAATCTTCATATAAATTTCCTATAAATTTGTCATTTGGAGAAAGTCACATGAATGGAGTCATATGCCTCCAGGTCTGTGTCACACAGATGGCACCATGCAGAGGGAGCCTGTGCCTTTTGACACGTAGCTTTGAGGGCCATTCATGCTCCTGCCTCCACTCTTTACTGAGCAAGTCTCTAATTGTATATTTGAGGTGAGACTTCGTAAATCATAACGAGGTCTTGGTTTTTGTTTGTTTGTTTTGTTTTTTAATGCCATCTGTCTGTCGTCTGTCTGTCTGTCTGTCTGTCTTTCTACCTAGAACTGGCTGGCCTCAGACTCACAGATCTGCCTAACTCTGCCTTCCAAGTGCTGGGACTAAAGGCGTGTGCCACCGTGCCTGGTGTAGTCTCTGTTTTTCGACAGGTAAATTGAATCACTTACGTTTAATATTTAATACTATTTAATGTTATTGCTACGTTGGGGGCTTCAATCTGCCATTTTGTTTTTGTTCTCTGTTTTCTTTCTGTTTCAGTTCAGCTTCTTGGTGGCTGCTGTGGTTATTGAAGTTACGTAACAAAGTGTGTCACAATCCATGAGTGTTGATACACTGAGTTGCAATCGACTGTAGAAATGCCTCCTTTTACCACTCCTCACTTCCAGTTCTTTAGAATACCATGTCTGACCCAGTTCAACCACCAAACGTCATTTTAAAAGCTTAAGAGAAAGCCGGGCGGTGGTGGCGCACGCCTTTAATCCTAGCACTCGGGAGGCAGAGCCAGGTGGATCTCCATGAGTTCGAGGCCTGGTGTACAGATCAAGATCCAGGACAGGCTCCAAAGATACACAGAGAAACCCTGTCTCAAAAAACCAAAAACAAAACAAAACAAAACAAAAAACCCTAAAAAACAAAAAGCAAACAAACCAAACAAACCAAAAAAACCCAAACAAACAAAAACAAAAACCAACCAACCAAAAAACCCCCCAAAAAACACAAAAAACAAAAACAAGCAAATAAACAAAAAAACTTAAGAGAAATGAAATATATTTACTCACATTTTTACTTTCTGTTGTTTCATCTTCCTCTCTGATATTCAGAATGCCTTCCTTTGTCCTTCCACTTCTGGTTAGATAATTTCCTTTGTCATTTTTTTTTTAAAAACAGGGTCTCATGTAGCTCAGGTTGGCCTTGAACTCCCTATGTAGCTGGAGGGGACCTTGATTTAAGATCTTCTTGCCTCTAGCTCCACCTCCTGAATACTTGGGTCACGGGGGTCCACCACCATGCCTGGTTCATGCAGTGCTGGCGACTGAACCCAGGCCTTCGAGTATGCCAGGAAGACCCTGCCGCCTGAGCCCCGCCCCCACCCCTTTAGCCGTTCTCCGAACTTGATCTACTGTTGACAAGTCTCCTTAATGGCAGTTCAGCTAAAAGCATCCCTTGACTTCATTCTCAAAGGATAGATGAAGGCTGTAGAAGTCTGGGTTGTAGTTTTTAGATCTTTCAGTCCTGAACCTCTTTATGTGGCTTCCATGGCATCTGATAAGAAATGTGTTGTTTATAAGCTGGGTGGTGACAGCGGCGGCGGCGGCGGCGGCGGCGGCGGCGCACGCCTTTAATCCCAGCACTCGGGAGGCAGAGAGGCAGGCGGATCTCTGAGAGGCTGGTAGATGGCTCAGCGATGAAGAGCACTGGCTGCTCTTTTAAAGTATCCAGGGTTCACTTCCCAGGACCCCCATAGTGGCTCATGTCTGTTTCTATCTCCAGTTCCAGGGAATCTGATGCTGTCTTCTAGCCTAGTTGGGCACCAGGCACACGTGCAGGCAAAGCACTCATACAGATTAGCACAACAACAAAAACAAGAACCTTGTAGGCTTTTTTCTTCTTTGGTTTTGGAAGTTTGATGATGTCATCTCTTAGCATGCGTTTCTCTGGGTTTGCGCTGTTCATCATTCACTCAGATTCTCGGATCTGTAGGTTTAGTTATTTACGTGCTTGTTTATTTTTAAAGCAAACGTGGGAAGTTGGGAGAGCCTGTGTAAGAAAACTGTGAACTTACTCTGGACTATGGATGGGGCAGTGTGCAGAGTGTTCTTCCCACCAGGTGGCCTTCTAGAAAGGATTGCATGAACCATGATAAGTGGATGCACTTGAAAACAAGAACACAAGGGAATCCCCGTGGCGTGTCCACATTATCTCTGTGGGGAAGGCAAAGGCCTGGGAAGGAATATTCTTGGTTCTTTTCATAGAACCAAAGATGAAAAGACATAGCACCAGGTGTATAAGCTCGCCGTGCTTGTATTTACTTAAGCTGATTGTAAACATCACCTCATGTTTTACTTGCTTTAGTAATAAAAATGAGAAGCACTTTCTTTATACCACTTTAGAGCTCAAATGCTTTGAGTCCTATGGTCACTCCACGCAGGTCTTTGGCATTTTGATCCATAGAGACATAGCCTGGCTGGCCAGGGGTGGGTCAACAGGAAATAGGACATTATTTCTTTACATGGCTTTGCTGGCTTGGCTTTTCTCTTTTTTCTGGGACTCGGATGACCCTGCTGGTCTCCCGTGGCTCTGTGTCTATGCATTTCTATTTTGGTTTATTTTCTCTCCCTCAGTCCTTACCTTTTGCTAAGATTTCCAGTTGCCGTACTCTGTCTTTCTAGAAGCTGCAGTTTGGATTCAGGGTGTTTTTAGTCACTCACAGAAGCATTTTTAAGTTGGTTGCTGTAAAATCCTCACCGGAAGGTCCCCACACCTGTACCATCCTGGTGTGGGTGTCTGTCCTAGCTGCTTAGGACAAGACTCATGATTTTTCTGGCTTTTGAGTTTTGGATGGGTCCTGGCCCCGAGGGAGGGAGAGGCAGAATCTCATTATTGCCACAGGGGAAAAGTTCAAAGTCCAAGCTCACGGGCTATCTCTGTTTAGTTCCTGACTGATGCTGCCTGGCTGGGAGGGCAAGGATGCCTCATACTCACTGCCCACAAGGTCCCCTTGACACTCAGGCAGGTGTCTTGTCACCTGCTGAGTGGGATGAATGTCCTGGCTCTCCTCTGGTCCCCCTGATGTCCCGGTAGAGAGAGAGCATCGGAGGCATTCCATTCCCATGATAACCTTGGTATCTTCACAGGAAAGTAGTGTGTGAATGTGGTTACACCCATGAGCAGCACTTGGAGGTGGCCATCAAGCCTCACACTTTTCAGGGCAAGGAATGGGACCCGAAGAAGCATGTCCATGAGATGCCTACAGATGCCTTTGGCGACATCGTGTTCACAGGCCTGAGCCAGAAAGCAGGGAAGGTGGGTCCCATTATGCTCACTCTTCGCCATGTTGGCCCCTGTGACCCTGTAGCAGATCTCCTGGAGGGGGGGGGAGAAGCCGGGGGGGGAGAAAGAAAGAAGGCGTCTAGCTGCCTGGAACCCACTATACAATGAGGAATGGCATGGGGTGGTGTGCACTCTTCAGGCAAACGAGAGGCGTGTGAGCAGAGGGAGGAAGGCAGGGCTTCCCGAGGGAGGTATGAGCTCATTCTGAAGGGTCTCCCGTCTGCCTGGGTCTAGAGGAATGAGGAGAAGAGCTCAGGACCTAGCACAGAAGTGATTGGTGAGGTAGTGGTGAGGTCTCCGGAAGGGAGGGGAGAGGGAGAAACCCCGTGTGGGAAGCAGAGGCAAGAGCCATTCCTGGTGGCTGTACCCTGGGCTAGAGATGCAGACACAGCTGCAGGAGGAGGTCCCGTCACCTGGCCTCAGGTCAGGAAGAGAGGCACAGGGAGGTCTCACCTCTTGCTCAAAGCTGTGGCAGGCAGAGCCATGGTGGGTATGAATCCAGCTGATCCCCAGTCCCAGTTCTTAACCTGACAACCTCCTGGCTCCAGCTGCTTCTCCAAGGGCAGTGACGGGGACAGTCCTAAGCCAGGGACAGTTAGTGGTAGGGGATAGCACTCCTGTTCTACCAGTGAGTGGGACATTCATTGAGAACCATAAGGTGTGTCCTGACCTCAGTGAATCGCCTCCTGAGAGTGTATGTCCCCCACTGTGTTACTTTCTTGTCCCGTGACAAAAGGCAGTTTCTAGAGGAAGGATTTATTCTGGCTTGCAGTTTGAAGAGATACAGTCCATTGTGGTTGAGAAGACATGGTGGAGTTCCGGGTGCTTGAAGCTGTGGGGCGGGGGAGGGGCTGAGGCTGCTGGCTGCATCCTGGTGGGTCAAGAGATAGATGAGATAGAGAGAGAGACAGATGAGAGATAACAAGGGAAGTCGGGCTACCACCACTAAGTCCTGCTCCCCAGAGACCAGCAAACACTTCCTCCAGAGAGGAACCTACCTCCTAAAGGTTCCACAGCATCTCAGTACCTCCAACCAGAGATCAGATGTTCAAAGACATGAGCCTGTGGGGGAACATTTCATGTTTAAACTATAGCACCCGCAATGTGAGCCCATAGCCCCTCTCCTTCTGGACATGATGTGGTTTACAGTCTGAGAGCAAGACCATGAGAGGGTGGTCCTGGACCCCTGCTCCTCCCTGTGAGAACAGCTGCTGTGAGGGCTGACAGGCAGCAGCCACCGCGGTATCAGTTAGCGTTCTTTGTTGATATGCAGTATCCTGTTTGCTCTGGAGACTCCTAACGTCCCTTTGGATTTTGTGATGTCCGTCATCCTGCCCATTAGGGTCCCTCGGGTGGATTCTAGTCAAGCTGGAGCTCCTTAGACAGTTGATTTAACCAGAGTGGAAAAGTCCACCCTGGGCTGTGGGCTGCAGTGCTTGCCTGGCATACATGGGTCTCTGGATTCTATCCCAGGTGTGTGCACACGCACACACACACACACACACACACACACACACACACACACACACACACACACGCATGCACGCACACACGCACGCGCACATACATTCACGCACACATAACGTCTAGAAGGAGCTTAAGGTGTTCTGGAGTGTGAAGCCAAGGGGCCGCCCCCTCCCACCTCCCGTACCCTCAACCCTTCTCAGAGGCAGACAATGTGTACACAGAGCAGGGCCAAGCCCAGTAAACCCAGTGACAGGTCAGGGGTGGGAGTGTGAGGAGACCAGGAAGCAGATGGGGTGGAGGTCAAACCACATGGAGGAGCCAGTGCAGGGGGTGGCATAAGGAGGGTGTTTGTGGGGGGCGGTCTGAGGTGCCCCCTAAGCAGAGAGGATGAGGAAAGAGGAAGTATGGGAGAGGGAGCTGGGCCTAGGGGCTTTGTAATGAATAGTCTGGCTTTACCTAGGGAGCCCCTGTACTTGGGCTTCTCTTCTGGGCCTCACCTCCTCTTTCTTCTTACAACCCATGTCTTGACTATGCTTTGCTGGCTATTTTTCTTCCGGGGTGTGAACTCAAGGTGTCCAGCCCCAGGCTGGGGAGGCAGGGCACAGGTGAGCCCACTCTGCTGAACGTGAAGGGTGAAGCCATTCTCTCGGGGTTCCTTCACTGTCTCCTGCAGGGCATCCTCACTAGCCCCTGCGGGGTTCTCTTTCTGTCCCCTGCTCAGTTCCCTTGCCCCGCAGGATGCCCGCACTGTCCCCTGCAGGGTGTCTCCTGCAAGGTCCCCTCACCAGCCCATGATTCCCCTGCAGTATGTCCGGGTCTCCCAGGACACGCCCTCCAGTGTCATCTACCAACTCATGACCCAGCACTGGGGCCTGGATGTCCCCAACCTCCTCATCTCAGTGACCGGCGGGGCCAAGAACTTTAACATGAAGCTGAGGCTGAAGAGCATCTTCCGGAGAGGCCTGGTCAAGGTGGCCCAAACTACAGGTGAGTGCTGAGGTCCTGCCCAGGCCGTGAGTACAAGGAGGATGAAGGGGATCTTTGGGGGTCAGCATCATCAGTACTGGAAAACTCTTGGGGATAGCTGAGTTCACACCCTGGCCTGGGCCAGATTCCTTGGGTCTATAGACAGCACTTCCCTTGACGCCCAGTTGCCTCTCAGCTCACACTATTTATTTCCATGATGTTTATAGTCACATACCACTGCCATGTGCTAATGTGCTAGATTTATTTTTAAAAGATTTATTTTTACTTAGTGCCTGTGTACCTCTCTCTCTCTCTCTCTCTCTCTCTCTCTCTCTCTCTCTGGTGTGTGTGTGTGTGTGTGTGTGTGTGTGTGTGTGTGTGTGTGTATGCCACATGTGCTCAGATGCCTGTGGAAGACAGAAGATGACATTAGATCCCCCGGAGCTGGAGATAGAGGTGGCTGTGAGCCTTCCAACATGGATGCTAAAAGCAGAACTTAGGTTCTCTGGAAGAGCAGCCAGTGCTCTTAACTACTGAGCTCTCTCTCCAGACCCTTGGTTTTATTTTATTTTAACGTCCTCATCACGTGTGTCTCTGAGGCGCTGATTTCAGAGGTCTGGCCAGCACTGTGCAGTAAACTCACCCCCCAAACAATAGCAGACGGGACTTGGCTCATGTAGCAGGCATGAGAGCTCTGCCCACATGCCCTCTCTTTGGAGGTCAGGCAGGACCAGCAGAACCCACTTGTCACTTGCTGCTCTATAGGCAGAACTAGTTCACACTCAGCCCTGGCATTCTTTCACTGGTCGGCATGCAGTGCGGCCCTGAGGGTGGGGTAGACAGAAAGAGTGTCCCCTGTAGGGGCTCCCAGGGACTGTAGTAAGCCATGTGGCTGTAGATGTAAGGTCGGTCATTGGTTAGGGGTAGGGCCAAGGGATGGGGAACATGGGCATCACCTCCCACTCTTGGGTCTCAAACACTGACAGGAAAATGGAAAGCTGCAGGTCCTGAAGTAGGAGATCCAGACCGTTTGTGCTCCTCAGCCTGGGACAGAGAGAAGGCAGAGGGCCAGGAGAGGCCTGCAGAGAGAAGATGGGAGTCTTTTCCATTGTTGTTTTTGCAATGTGGGGAGCTCAAGTTCCAGAAAGGCATCAGGAAGATGCTATCACAATACAGTGTCTCTTCCTTGATCCTGCTTTAGAGGCTTATCTGCCAACGTACTTGAGAGTCTGATGATGAGGTCCCGTGTCAGGAGCACACTGGGACTCTGGGTGTCACTATTGGCTTGACAGGATGCACACTGGAGCCTAGAGGCATGGCCTGTCTCTTTCCCCAGGGGCCTGGATCATCACTGGGGGGTCCCACACGGGTGTGATGAAGCAGGTGGGTGAGGCGGTACGGGACTTCAGCCTGAGCAGCAGTTGCAAAGAAGGAGAAGTCATCACCATCGGTGTAGCCACGTGGGGCACCATCCACAACCGAGAGGGGCTGATCCATCCCACGGTGAGTAGCCACTCCAGAGTGAGCCTGGGTCAGAGGAGGAAGGCTGGGAGCAGAGGGTGAGGAGTCCGACTCTTTACAAAGACTGTAGGGAGCGTGGTGGGTGTCAGCATGAGTGTTGGGGGAGGGAGGTGGTGCTGCAGGGCCCGGGTCTGACTTAGGTAATGTAATACCTCGGACACAGTGAGCAGGGTGGGCAGCTAACACGGACAGTCTTAAGATCACAGGAGGGATCCACATGCTGATTATTACCAGGTAGAGGTACATCCCAAGAGTTGCTTTGATGAGAAATGGACTTCAAGGACAGGGAGTGACCAACCAGGACTACACAGCCAAGCAAGCACTGGGGTAGGACTGAGCCAGCTATCTGACCACAAAGCCTGAGCTTTTAGCTTTGAACCTCTATGCTCAGAGGCCTCCAGCCTGGAATTCCACAGAGCCGTGGTTTCTGGCAGTCAGCAGCAAGTTGGGCTGCACTTTAATGCTATACCTAGAGCTTGGCTCAGCAGCTGCATAAGAATAGAGACTTGAGTTAGATAACTTGGTTCACTGAGTGGGATTTTCTAAGGACACATTGGATCTGTCCTAATGAGGACATGGACATTTCATTCACAGCCAGGGAAATCTGGGGACAATATAGTCCGTGACTAGAGAAAGCTTCTTGTCACTGCTGACAAGAGTATGCCTGGCCCCGTGTGCAGTCTCCCTGTCTCAGTGGTCCTTTGTCAGACAACATTGCTCTAAGGAAGTCTTGGTCTTTCTTTTGTGTCTGAATCATGGAGTGTCTCCCCGGGCAGGATGGACCAACTATCCTGTTTTGCACATCCTTTTTATGGTGTAAGCCTGAGGCTAAGGGAGTCCAGGGGAATTCCCAGCTGAGAGCTGTTGTTACACTGTTTCATTCTCTGTGGATAGTAGAGAAGGTGTCTGGTCCAGAGGGTTAGTTTCTCTGGGGTGCTGTAAAACATGACAAACTGGTGGCAGAAAGCAACTAATTTATCCGTCTACAGTTAGTCGTCACTCTCCCACAGCACAGACACCATATCACTCGGCCACAATGAAAATGAGGTTATACACTATTCTGGGGCTCTGATGAGGACCTTTCCTGCTCTTTTAACTTCTGGTGCTCCTGGGAGTTCCTGGGGGCCCCACTCAGGTCATTCAGATTAATTTTCTCTTGTTTAGATCCTTAACATCAGAGCTACAAAGGCTCTTTCTCCAAATAAGGGGCCACCAGCAGATTTTTGGTCTTAGGGCTTGGTATCTTCGGGGTGGCATTATGTAAGCCATTAGACCCACCCACGCCCATTTCCAGAATACAGGTATGACTTTTTTTTTTTTTTTTTTTTTTTTTTTTTTTAACCAACCTGTGTGAGTCTCCCCTGGTCATTCACAGGGAGGCTTCCCCGCTGAGTACATGCTGGATGAGGAAGGTCAAGGGAATCTGACCTGCTTAGACAGCAACCACTCCCACTTCATCCTGGTGGACGATGGGACCCATGGGCAGTATGGTGTGGAGATTCCCCTGAGGACGAAGCTGGAGAAGTTCATATCAGAGCAGACAAAGGAAAGAGGAGGTAAATGCACATGCCTCCGAGGGCATTTGGGGCAGAAGAAACTGAGGCTGGCCCTGTGTCAGAGCCACCGCTGGCCATGGCCTGTATTGTACGTGGAGGTGAGATTGCAACACACCTGTATTCATTTCCCGGGTCCCTGTCTGCTTCTTCATGGGGACCTGTCTTCTCTTGCTGCCTTAATCAGTGGAAGGGTGTCAGTGAAGGCTTGTCTGTTTTCTGTCAGTTAGTAGAACAGTCTACATTTTCAACTAGAGACAATTTGAGGCTGGGAAACGAGAAGAAATGCCAGCCAGAACTCACAGCTTGACCTCAGTTGCTTGTGGGGAGGTGGAGCACCTAGTGTGTGAGGTGAGGAGAGGAGAGGGAACAGGAAGTGCAGGGAGGACTCCAGCTCAGCACCTGTGTTGCTTGGGACGACTCTGGGTAGTGTATTTCAAGCTTCTCTGTGCTTCCTGAATCAGGGTCCTTAGTGGGGCTCATCACCCCCACCCTAAAGTCACCTCCCTCAGATCTGGAGGGCACAGAGCTTGCATGCCCATTAAGTTCCCAGGGGGGAGTCTATTGCCTGTTCAGGCACCACACTGGGAGAGCACTGTTCTCACTAGGAGAACCCAGGGTGAGGTGTATGAAGGCAGGGACCCTTGTTGGCACTGGGTGGGCTTTGCTGCCCAGGGGAAGGGACTCCTCTTATCATCTCTATTTCTCCTGCCTTCTGAGTGGGGTTGGGTAGAAGGGGAGAAGACTCATGACCTGTGCCCTACCCCAGCCCGTGCTGGATGGTTCAGTCTCCTCCTAGAAGTTCCTTGTGCCAGCTTGGATTTTGAGGTAACTTACAAAGGACAACAGAGAAGGACTGGCTACAGTGGTCCACTGGGTATAGAAGATGGGGTTCCGTTCTTGTCCCTTCTGCACAGGAATTCATTCAGGATGGGGTGGGGTACAGGTGGCAGGATGGGGTGCATAGTTGGGTACAAGAGTAGGGATGTGGTAGGTGCAGGGGTAGATCAGGGGTGGGTGCAGGGGTAGGGTGAGTGGTCAGGGGGAGAGGCAGGGGCAGGGAGAATGGTCAAGGATAGGGGGAGAGCAAATCCAAGGATAGGTGGCCAGGTGGTCTTGGGTTTGCTCTTTTATGGTGCATGAACAACTTGTCTGCAAGCCCTCATCCTTCACCTATAGTAGCTGCCCATTATGGACCACTCGGTCCGGCTGGTGCTTCCCCACGTGACTAGGGTGAAGTTGGTTGGGCGGAGGAAGCAGCCTCTAATAGTAGGTCTTTGCTTCCCCCACCACGGCTTCACATGGGCTCCATGTCTGCCTAGGTGTGGCCATCAAGATCCCCATTGTTTGCGTGGTGTTGGAGGGCGGCCCTGGCACTCTGCACGTGAGTACTAGCTGCTGTCCATCATGGGGCGCAGGCCCTGCTGTGGAGGAAGGGCTGGTGGGTACTTTTACTAAAATCTGGTGCCATCACCGGGAACACGCATGGCATGCTGTCCTCAGGATGTGGAGGGGAGGGAATCCACCACAGGACAGGGATGTTTCCAGGTGAGAGAGGAGACATCTAATGGGTAGACCCTCATGTGGGAGAGGTGGCTTGGCTTTGGCCCCGGTCATGGTGGGGCTGCTGACTCTCTCTTCCCAGAGCCTCTCCAGAAGGCCTTCAGCCAGTGTCCCAGGCGCTGCCCTCAGAGCACAGGCCCCAGCTCCAGCCCAGCTGTTGGAGCTAAAGTCTGGGGTTTTCCTCATGGTCCCGGTATCCCCTAGGCTTTGGTCATTCTGGATCCACACAGCATCCCTGTGAGTGGGTCTGGTCAATGACTGTGCCATGGACCCTTTTGTTACAGTGGTATTGGGTGCTGAGTGACAAGCCTGAGTCAGGTGTATCAGTGGCACACTCCTTGGGTGTCAGCAACAGCTCTTTTGTCTCTTGAAGAGTGGGGTGCACCAAACCAGTGAGGCCTTCTGGAAAGTTCCAGCTTCACAGGCTCACTCTAGCAGCAAGTGACTTGCAGCCTTAGCTGCCACTGAATGATGCTGTGTTTCAGAATTGTCAGAGCTGGGTGAGGACTCTGGCCAGCTCACACTTACTTGGTTCTGGTTTTGCAGACCATCTACAATGCCATCACCAACGGTACGCCCTGTGTGATAGTGGAGGGCTCCGGCCGAGTGGCTGACGTCATCGCCCAGGTGGCCACTCTGCCCGTCTCTGAGATCACCATCTCCCTGATACAGCAGAAGCTCAGTATCTTCTTCCAGGAGATGTTTGAGACTTTCACCGAAAACAGGATCGTGGAATGGACCAAAAAGGTGAGACACATTGGTTTACGGTCACCAGGCCGACTACCAGACAGACCAGGACTCCGGGGCCCTGAAATGGGTCAGAGTGGGTGCACAATTGAATTTGCAGTTGGTGGGGAGCTCTGAGCCCCAGGACAGGCAGGGCCTCCTAGTTGGGCACTGGGAGGTTGAAGCGTATGACAGACAGAATGCTAAAGGAGAACTGAGGTTTGAACTCGATTTACAGAATGCCAGGGCTGGACTGGGACATCTCAGAGCTTGAAAGTGTTGTTCTGGGACCCAGAGCATGCTGGACTGGAGGGGTGCGGTGCTTGGGGAGGGGGTCAGGAAGCACCTCAGAGCACAGGAGGGGTCTTGGCTGGGATGCTGGCTGCAGAGCTTACCGGCTACAGTAGTGAATGGCAGGATGTGATCCAGCCTTGTCTCCACATAAGAACTCTAATGGAGCAGCCTCAGAAGGGCCCAGCACCCTAGTCTTGCAGCTGGGTTTTGGGGTGGTGCCTTGATGAGCTCTGCAAAGTGTGTAGTGAGTGTCTGCACCCTCAGAATTTTACACAGGGTGTGAGCATCCTGGGGTGAGTGTGAGCAGTGCTAGCTTTGGCTGAGCTGAATTTAGGAACACACTGGAGCTAGCCACACTGGACTGTGGCACATGGAGGGGCTTGGGCTGTGGCTGGACCACGGAGAACAAGGAGTTCTCTGTCTGGCTAGCTCAGGGAAGCATGGAGACCTCATTTTAAATTTGCTAGGCACTCAGAGTGCCCCTGTTTAGTGTGGATGCTCTGTGAGATTATCTGGCAAGGAAACAACCTAAGTTCTGGTGAGCTCCTCATCCTCTCCCCCTCTCCTTCCTCCTTCCCAAAGGCCTTTGATTTCTTATCCGGTGTGCTGTAAGCTGTTGGTCAGGCTGGGAGTCTTTTCTCAGCAACATTATAAATTATTCAGGCAATTCAGAGAACTGAATTTAATCTCTCTTTGCCAAAAGTATTTTTGTTACATTTATTTTGTGTGTGTGTGTGTGTGTGTGTGTGTGTGTGTGTGTGTGTGTGTATACTCATGCTCACATGCTGGTGCCTCAATGCACACATCATGGAGGTCAGAGGACATTTTGTGCGAGTCAGTTCTTTTTTTCTACCATATGGGTCCTAGGAGATTGAAGTCAAGTCATCAGGCTTGGTGGCAAATGCCCTTTCTAGCTGAGCCTGCATAGACTGGGTGGTTCCTTGTTGGGACCCCAATCCCTTTTGTCCTTCGAGGAGGCAGAATACCTTAACCCCGAATCTCACTGACAACCATTTGCTGCAGATCCAAGACATCGTCCGGAGGCGGCAGCTGCTGACGATCTTCCGGGAAGGGAAGGATGGGCAGCAGGATGTGGATGTGGCCATTCTGCAAGCTTTACTGAAAG